TGTTTTAAGTAGCTGTATTGCGGCGTCTGGGTTTCTCTCGAGCAGAGCGCTGGGCGCGTGGCGCCCCAGACGCATCCATCGTCTCTCTTCCGCCCTCGCCACCGCCCCTCCCCCCGCCGCCGCGCCGCCGCCCCGCCGCCGCCGCCGCCGCCGCCGCCGCTGCAGCCAGTTGCCAAGCCTCGCAAACGCGAAGGGGTGGAGGCGGGCGGCAGCGGCGACGGCGGCTTATGTAATCCACCCTTTGGCCCGAGCCCCAAGCTCCGCTGGAGACCCGCGCCGCTTTCTCATCCCGAGCAGGACGCTACTGCTCCGAGTAGTAGCCTATTTTCAATACGCACTCCAACTATGTAGACATTAACATTTTATTTTTACTTTCCACATGACACTGCTAGTTGGTAAATGTAAAGAAAGTAATACGACGCTATGAAAAGTTAGGTCCATAAAATCCTCATCCTTTGAGAATATGTTTATTTATCGTATACGGCTCTATGATGACTAGCAAAGAAAATTCCCAAGTTCGTAGAGTATTATTAGACTACACAGTGCAACAGTTATGAATGATAATAGTTACATTAAATAAGACTTAAGTCTTCTATTTTACTTCATACTGTAAGTAATGTGACACATTTCGACGAAAAGAACGGCTATGAAATAACGATTGACGTCGCCGATGCTTTCGTCGTGCAACAAGTGCAGCAGTGGGTCAGCGAGTGCCTCGCCAGTTGACTTTTTAATGCGCCTCGAGTACCCCGCTGCCGGAGTCCGCGGTCGCCGCCGGAGACCCCGCGAGCGAAGGGCTCATCGAGCTGCGCAGTATTTCGCGCATTATTTTGTGGCGGTCGTCCGTCATGAGCCTAGGCTGCAGGGCCCGCCGTCGCCACCCGCCCCCGCCACCGTTGCGCAGACGCAGCTGCTGCCTGTCGCCACGCCTTTGTCTACGCCATTTCCAGCTCCACCGTTACCATGATATTATCACCACTAACGTCATCGTAGCCACCAATCTTGAACATACTTCACTTTAGGAGTCCATGAGCACTAATGCGTTTCTCTCGTCATTAGTTGAAATGCTATCCAACTTCAGTCACTTTTCTCTGATTTAAATAAAACCATAATATGCATTATGGTTCTCTTTTTAAAAAAATCATATTTTTCACGCAATTTACGGGTTTATCTGTTTCTCCAAATTTTCCCAACACTTTTCTCTATCATATTTCATGTTTCACACACCTGTCCTCTTTCGTCTGTTTCTTTGTTTATCTTCGCCGTCCATTGTTCTCTGAGTTTCTGCTTGAGTCCATTGTTTCATTTTCGCACATCTTTTCTTACATTTACTACTCCCGGATCGAAGTCATCCCCTGCGTTTCAAGTTGTATTCATATTCTGTTCGGCGACCGCTGCCCCAACAGCACATGCGTCATTGAGGTTCTTTCGTCGTATCTAGAGCATGATACATTTTTGTGCTGAATTTCGCGCATCTCCTCCTTTCCTGGGACTCGGGGCGCAGCCGTCCGCATCGTCGCCAAGGGACGTGCCCTCGGCTCGAGTTTGCGAGGGACGTGCCCTCCGCGTGTCGCGGCGGCGGCATGCGTAACTCACGGGTGCGCCCGACACGCGCCCTTTTTTATCCGCTGTTTTATGTCTGCTCGCCGTCCGACTCTTCTGCCTTGTTGATTATCTGGAATTATTTAACCTAGCGGAAAAGCAGACTAGATTGTGTTTCGCTTCTTTTTGGAAAGAAAAAGTTCGCCTCTGGATCTGTTGGAAGCCGGGCAAAGAAAGTTTATTCATTTGTTCCGTTCAGTATTTTTGCTTTTCGTGTCGTGCTGGTTAATCTTCGCGACTTCGTGTTTTTTTTTCTTTCCGATGTTTTTTTTTTCTTTCATTGCCTGTTCCGTCGCTGTGAGACTGGACCAGCATGAGACAATATCTCTGGAAAGGAAGTCGGAATTATTTTCGTGAAATTTTTGCGGATATTTATAAATTTATTTCACGTTTCGTGAACTCGGACAAACGGATATTCGTTCCATAAAGTTCCGTTGCTTCTCTTTGTTGATACCGTGGCGCCAAAAAATCTTACTCTTTTCCGTAAAATATTATGAATTAATGCTAATTAGCTGAACGAATTGACCGCACTCCTTTCTGCTGTGTACACAGATATTTCCTCACCGCTATTGCGGTCGTAAACATAAAATATGGCGCGAGTCATGGCGACTCGCAACACTTTCGTAGGCGGCGGGGAGCGAGTGAGCATGGAAGCGGAGCTTCTCGCTGCGGGCCAGAAATTTATGGCAGCCGTTTTTTGATAGCAGCATTTCTACGCGATAATTGTTCATTTATGGAATATTTTATTTCGGCGTTCTCTTTCTTCTGTCAGATCATCATTCTCTGCACTGGAAATCGCGCAGCATCTCTGAAGCCTTATTGTTATTTGATTCTATGTATTGTTCAGCATCTTTTCATTTAACATTACACTACTCAATAAATTGTTTTTTGTAGCACTGTGATTCCAGTAGAGTATACGAAATACAGAAATGCTTGTGAATAATCGTGAGTAAATTATGATTGATAACGTTTTTTTCTCTCATCTCTCATCTCTCCTCCGGTCTAAGAAAACATAATTAATTGGAATCATTAAAACTCCGTGACTGCTAAAGTGAATGTAACGCATTCATCAAGATATCAAAAATAACAATGTTATTTAGAAGAATACCTTTTACGTTTAAAACCCGTAATTCTTGAATCTCATTCTGAAACTTGTCGGATACGGAGACAGTTGATGCCAAAAACGTAGATCTTTGCAGATTAGATTTACAGATGAATAAAGGGAATAAAAATATAACAAATCATAATGAATACTGCTTGTATTTCTTATATGACTAGAATTTCAGATACTATTACAATTTTTTTATCGAATTTGATGAGCGAGCTTTATAATTGGTTTAATTCAGCGAAGATTAATGTAATAGTTATTATGTACTCTATAAAACAACTTGAATAGAAATGTCTTAATACACAATTTTCTCTATTATCGTTGCAATTATATTTATCAGTGTATCATGTACATTAAGTGTAACCAGGAAATAGAGGACAGATTGGAATTGCATCTCTGTGAACTGATATTCGTGAGGACTAAGTGAGTCACTAGGCAATATAGCGAAACGCATTCATTAGAGTGGCATTTTTATTGGTAACTTCCTGTGTTCTGATATTTTCGGTTGTCCTCCCGAGTGACTGCGTCTGTAGTGCAGGCAGTTCACTGCACCCCTTGCTTCCAGAAAGAGGAGAGGTTTTTACTTTTTATCCCAGAGAATTGACGATGATGCCGGGACGGGGGTGAGAGTGGGCGGCGTCCTCGTCGGCCCCGGTGCCGGAGGCGCGCGCCCAATGGATTGGAAAGTCCGTAATTCGGGGCTGCTCTTTCCGACGTCTCAGCGAGAGACGGCCGCTACTGAATCTCTTCCGATGTCACTCGCTATCTTGACAAAGGACGCGAACGCGATAGGCTCTCACTGCAAGGGTTGTAGACACTGCCGCAGTTCCATTTCACTTTCTGTAGCAACCCATTTCTGAAATCATTGTATAATTTCGCAAACCATGATAATATGTCATGAAGAAATAGAAATAGTAGTTGCTATAATTCAGCATTGCTTGTCCTGTACGGATATAGTTTATCAGAACTTAAATTCAACATGTAGTGGTCTTAATGGATTGATTTAGAAAATATTTTTACTGTATTTTTTATTTCAAGTCAGTTGTCAAGTCGAATTGATATTTATAATACTTCAGAGACAATCGAAATAGGTTGTGCGAAAGTACTATTTTATTCATAATTTAACACTCTCGATTCACGTTATTGTATATAAATGTATTTTTTCCTTTGAAAATATAAATAGATATACAACACAACCGTCCATGGAATACTTGGAGTATGTTTGTGAGAAAGAAAAAAATATCTTAAATATGCGGAATATTATTTTTGGAATTCGAAGGGTTCTATATCTTCCTCTTTCCGCCTGACGCACTCTGCCAGCGTGTTCTTGTGGTGTGTGGGCTCCTCTCCTAACGGAATGCTGGGTTGTGGACTAACGCGTTGTAACTCCCACACGCACGCGCGGGCCGCGCCTGGGCTGGCGCGTGGCTGCACCGCCGCGGCGGACGCTGGCCTTCGCGCCGCGTGCGCTTTTTTCGCTTACGCCTTCCTCTTCTGCCGCCGCCTCCGCCGCCGCCGCTCAGTTGCCCTGCCTGAGCGGCGAGCCCTCGACCTCTCTGTGCTTGTGTGCATGCCCTCACTCTCGACTGCATGGACGTCACAGGTCACGTGGCGAGCGCACGCACGCGCGCACGACCCACGTGACCCTATCATAGGCTAACAGGTGCGTCTAGTCTACTGCTCTTATTACTATCATACTATATGGACTTATTGACAGTGGCGGAACCATTTGTTTGAGAGCTGTTTCACGCGCAAAAATGTTTGTGGTAAAAAAGGAATAAATTCAGTATAATACTCATATTATGTAATGATATTGATTTTTCTATTGAAGACAACATAGAATGGTCATGAAAACCAAGAATTCCTTCTCATAAAAGAATACAATTCGTATGGAGCCTAAGGAGATCTGCTTCCGCCACTGATTCCATTGAGTAATTGAATATGTAATCTTTCTTGTAGTTACTCTCTGTGTAGAAATCGCGTCTTTTGTTTTGTATTGAATGAATGTTATGATACAGTAGAAAAGTGCACTGTGCAATGTTTTGAGCGATTTTTGCCTTCCCGTTTCAGACGCAAAGGATCGGAGTTGCGGTCGAGAAGAGTCGAGTTTCCTCGCCCGAATAATCGATCTTCGCTGTTCGACGACTCCGCCCGCGCAGGAACCGCAAGCTACGCAGGCGCCGCCGGGTCGCCCTCTCTGCCCGCAGGGGGCGCAAGAAACGTGTAATATAAATACAGCAAGCACTCAAAGACATTCTCAAACTTGATATACTCCTTAAATTACTTCAAGATAGTCTGTAAGAATATTTTTTTGTTTCGAAGTATAAACAATATTGTGAATGTAAAGATCTGTAAAAAATACTCATTGATAATTTTTTGTTGTTTTTATTGTTTTCTGAATGTACAAAAAGGGACAAGTGCAAACGAACTTTGATATTGTAACGTTGTTTGTTAGTAGAGATGTGTAAAATATACGTACTTAGGCTCATGTGCAGTCCATATTGCACTGTGTCTCCGACGCATAAAGACGTGACGGTGGAGTGTGACTGTTGCCCTTTTCTTGAGGGAAGGCAACTCACTCGTGTGTTCCCGATCCCGCCTCGTCGCAGAACGTTGGTGCTTAGTGCTGAAAAATTTCACAGAAAAAAAATCTTAAGTGGATTCAGTTTGGGAGAAGAAAAATGTAGAAAACAAACTGGATGTTTTTTGGAATGACACCTGCGTACAGTAAAACGGGAATAGCAATGTATCAATCAACTCTTTTACAGTATTAGTCTTAGTTTTAATTTTTGTAGTCATTTCAGAAGTATACGATTTTTCTAACAAAGAAGCCATCCAAAGAAATGGCCGTTATTTCTATATAATATTCTTCACCTGTTCGTGACTCTTTGTAGTAGACTGCTGTCTAGACTTAAAAAGGTGATCAGTAGTTTTAAGTTTCCGGATTCGGATATGTAATTTTGTTTGTATATTACTTCATGTTAATCTTTGTTTTCCTCAGAAGAAAGTACAGAGAAAATATATTATTTCATTACTTTTCCAAAGTGTAACGTAATTTAGAATTACGTATTTTGTTTCTAAATCGAGTAGTATCTTCACATCATGTGTAGTACAAGCTGTCAAGAAGACGTTGTTTTGTTTATCTACTTGTTCGTTTGTTTGTTGTTTGAGACTTGTAAATATGGGAGATGACTGACTGAATGGTTTCTTGTTCTATTTCCTGAAGTAAGCCGTCGTATTTTTTCTCTCCAAAATCATGTTTTGCGCGTAGGTTGCTAGAGTAACTATAATCTCCATATATGACTAATATCTGGGTCATGCAAGATCTCCATATATTGTATAGTATATAGGAATTAATATTCATTTAGCGTGATAAAGAAGACATAATATAAACCTTTCATGATACGTAATATGTACTTATGTACTTACTGTAAGTAGACCGAGCTGTCCCGGCGAGTCTGCACTTGGTGCGCTCAGTCCCTTTATCTTTGTGTGATCTTTACTGTGGTCTGCGGACCACGAACAACATACGTAATGAAATACGTCTAAGTTTTGATACAACCTCTCCTCCCCTTAAACTTGAGCGCACCTGGCTGATTCGGGCCGCCGATGGTCACCTTAGAAGTACTTCAGTGTTCGACTTGTATACGTAAAAGATCTATTCAAAGAAATTTACTTTTTTTGTTTGATTAACGGAATGTATTATAAAAGAACTTTATTTTTTATATTCTTCTTTCCAGTTTTTAAGAAGGTGTTTATGTATATTTTTAATTTCAAAGCAGAATATTGTTATTAATATTTTACATTTTATTTTCTGGAAAATTCTGTTCTTGCCACGTTGCTCAATAGTTCGGGGAATATGTGATTTCTCCACCAGGACAGCTTTTGAAAAGCTGATACTCTCCTATCAGATATTCCCCTTTCCTTTGATTTGGTTTGGCGCAATTGCGTCAGTGCTTTTATAAATCGAAATTCCTTCGTCCATAAAACAAACACAAAGTAGTTGTGTAAAAAGCTTTGTCTGTCCTACTCTAGCTATTCACTTGTGTGTTATGTAATTGTAAATGTGTGGCTGTAATTTATTTTAATAAAAAGTCATTATAAGTTTTGAGAGAAAGACTAGCGTTATTTTTATCCCATTTTCCACCCTTCCCATAATCCTTTTCTATCTATTCAACTTTTTAATCATCTTCGACAACAACTTATTCGGATATGTAATTTTGTTTGTATATTACTTCATGTTAATCTTCATTTTCCTCAGAAGAACGTACAGAGAAAATTAGTAGAGTCTTATCGTCCATAAAACTTATGAAAACCTAAACTGATGTACCAATCATGAAGAGTAAATGACGTCGGTTCGATGCTGAATTCTAAGAGCACTGTTTTCATTGAAGATATTCTTAATTCATTTTCCTATTAAACGTGTGCACATTGACCCGTATATCTCCAATACAGCCCATTTTCATTCCTTTACGTATCTTTGAATTCAAATCTCATCCATATAGTTCCTGAACACGACACATGAACGTGAACCTTGAGGAACACCAACAGAAATCACCCCTTTTCCAGAGCTCCACCTCCTCGCTTCGCTACATCCCTGCCATGGGTGCCGCGCGGCGCGGCATTCACTTGGGGTTTGTTAGCACTGCATTCCCCGCGTGCCTCCGCTTTTTCTACCCCGCGCCGCGCCTCGTCGCGCCACGCCGCGCCACGCGCCGCCGCGGGCGCAGCGAGCAGCTCGGGGCCTGCGCCGCCTCACTCGGCGCCACCAGCGCCGTCCCCCACCAGCTGGCGCCACCGCGCCGTCGAGATAAACACGGAGTATTGTGTCTCCAAGTGTAGACGTAAGCAGACCTTTATGTCAGGAATATAGTTACTGAGTGGTTTCAATACCAACCTAAGGAAACTTGCTTTTTTCGCATCTGAAGGGCAACACACTTTTTCACGGATCTCTTGACTGTTATTCACAACTGTATTGTTGCTTATTACAATTCAATATCAAGTAAATTCTTTACTGCCACTGAAATACGATGAATGTCTTAAGACACTTGCACACAACCTAGTTAAAACTCATAATTTTTCCTCAGGTGCGATGGATTGGTAATGATCTAAACACTGGCGTGTTCTGATATACTCCCATCGGAACGAAATCATGTATTATATTACTTCAGTTACGGTTGCTATAAAATGAATTGAAAATAAGGAAAATAGTTTCAATTTGTCTGAGATGATAAACAAATGAACAGCTCTCATGTATTTGAGTAGATCCAGAACTACACATGACAGCACACACATTTGCGCATTCTAAATTCCTTTCTACCAGTTTGGAATCTGTTTCAGTAATTATAATGCAATCATTGTATATTAACCATAATATAATAACCATCTGTAATGTGATTTTGCGTTATTATTTGAATACTTTATTACTAGCTCAGTGGGGCATCTCCGACGTTCTGAACAGTTTTAGGATATTCATATTTTTTATTTTTATTTTGAAGTGTACGAACAAGCGATAAATTTCCTACCAACGCCTCGAATAACACTTTCCTTGCGTAAAACGGTGGTCCGGAAGGAGTCAATTTTCGTAATTGCTTTCCAACTTTCGCCTTCCCCATGATTTCATCTTTGTCTGCTATCTATTATGTTAATATAAAATAATAATAATAATAATTATTATTATTATTGTTATTATTATTATTATTATTATTATATAAAAGTATGCGAAAAAGATTGTTCACTTCATCAGCATATCGAGAGGCGACGCACTCAAACGGAGCTCTGTGAGTGGCGTACAGGACACACGCGGGTTTCCCGATGACTACGGTACATAAGTATTCATTGGTCGGTAAGATGTACTTTTTCCTGTTGTTACAATATTAAGAACTTCGATATGAAATCCAGTGTTCAGCATTTTGTTCTTTCCTTGGTTCAGATCAGTTTCCAGTTTAAGTTTCTCAATAGAACTGGTATTTCTGGGGGTCACTTCAATTACATTCTCGTAGACGACTGCGAACTCAAAATTTAAAAAATAAATAAAAAAAGCAAAAAAGTCAGATGTTACGGTAAACGACATGAAGTTTTTATTCTAACTCTCTTTTGGTTCTGATTATAAAATATCTTCCGTGAATGCTAGCCTGAGAAAACACGCTGTTATATTGAAATTTTGTTTTCTCGAGCACTTAATCACATTTTTAAGACCGTAAGAATACACTTTTAAATTGAAGTTTAACTTTAATTTCCGTTAAATCGCTTAATCACATTATTTTCATAATCATGAATGATTTAACTCGTTTCTTTCGTATTTCTGGCAAGTCATTGTATACATTCACATTCGAGTGGAAAAATAAATGTTGTTAATTATGTTATTGTTTTACTGACGCTTCATTGCTCGTTATTGCATTCGGTATGGAGTTCGATATACTCTGCATAACATACCTGGATCGAGACGATCGTGGTTTCGAGGGAAATATGAAAACAGTTGAATAATACTCCATCTTACAGAGAATTGTGAACGGGATGTACGGGAGGTAAATTTGAAAAGACAAATCGTGTCAAGTTAGTATGTAGTTAATTAGTAAATAAGTACATATTAATTATTAAAATTAGGTAGAAAGTAAAATTCTGTAAGTATCACGGGCGTTAATTGGTTCTAAAGACCTTGAATGACAAAGTCTTTGAACAGGCCTTCGGGTTTTTGTCGCCGCTCGATTGTTAGAAACCTTTAACGCCCTTAATGCATAAATAAATATTGTTCTATAATTTTCTTAACTAAACATTAAAAACAATGTCGAGTTGTGAAAATTTACCGAAAAAATAGTTAAAACCAAGTTATTAATAGAATGAAAAGAAACCATTATTTATGCATTGATCATGAATCACATGTGGATATTCCTTTTTATGTGTCAACGTACAGGTTCCGCTAATTACACATTTTATTGAATAGTGAAGAAAGTTGGCATTTCTTTTCCTGTGATTGTCCAACCTGCCACTGTAATTGAAAATCATGAATAAATTCTTAAAAATCTGTTCTCAAATTTCTGACAATTATTTTCACATGTTAAGTAAGAGAAATCTAGTAATCTAAACTTGAACCTTCAATTAGAACTTTGAAAAATTGCATTTACCTCTTGACTTCAATAAATCACTTTGAAATTTGGATATTATTGATGTTCAACACACCAGAATTATTTCCAGGTTATACCAGAGCTAGTGAAGCAGATATAATTTTAATTGTGCCCAGTAAGCTTTCCCAATTTTCTTGCAATTTTTTCCTTTATTTTTTTACTAATCATATAAGTTTTCATAGTACAATAACTGTGTGATGAATTAACGTTTTCAGTACCGAAAAATTAACCCTTCCTTCAATTTCCAATATGACAATGTCATTTCGGAGTAGAAATGCTGGTTCGTACGAATAGATGGTTAGAATTGCACTCCCTAGGGAGTATGATGCAGGCTTAAAGGTGAAAGGCGAGGTGTCGATGAAAAGACCGGTGGTGGAGTGTGGAAAAAGCGCGTCCTAAGGCAAACGGCGCGGCGGCCGCGGGGCGCAGCGGGACGGGGCCGTCGCGTATTAGCGCGCTAATATATCATTAGCCGGGTAATCCGCGCGGGGGTGGGGCCACGCCACCTGCGCGGCCATCGCTCATTGGCGCCGCGACGGCCTAAGCCGAGGATTAGCGGGCTATCGGGAACCCGCCGGCCAGCCGCGCCAGCCCCCGCTCCCGCCCCCATGCGCGCTCCCCCCCCCGGCTCCATCACCCGCTGCTCTTCCTCCCCGCCACGTCCACCCCTGCTGCCCCTGTGCGACGCAGACCCGCCACGCGCGGCACACGCGACGCTCAACACGTGCACCTAGGCCGCCAGGGCAGCGCCTTGGGGAACGCCTGCAGAAGCACGCGCATAAACGCTTTGCGTGGATTGCCTCGGATGATATCTATGTTATTTCCAATGCGCAGAAGTTGAAAAACGTCTACACAACGGACGGCCATTTGAGAATATACAAGAACTCAACATTTAAAACCATTAAACAGGTTCGATATTGACTGATGCGTGAAAATATTGGCTTGTATTATTCCATCTATTCTAATATTGCTGGTACCTACTCAATCTTCTTAATCACACAATTCGTCCCTGAATCCCAGTATTCAGCATCAGTAAGCGTGCTACTTTTTAGAAAAAACATTTGTTTTTGTTTGGATTTCTGCTGCTACAGTTTGATATTTAAGTGACGTAAACTATTTCATGAGATCAACACGAGGTCTGAAAATTGAAATATTTTTTCGTTTCTTTTTGGAACAAAATATATAATATTCAACTTTTTTGTTACATATTTAAACAACTTCCTGAGGTTTGTTTGTATTTCTTTTGAATTATCACGAGATTTTCGATACACTGCGAAAAAAGTACGGACAAATTCCCAACACCTTTAGCATAGTCGGATTGAACGTATTTAGTAGAAAATATTATATTTAACTGATTCCTGATTGCGTGAATCGTCTGTGCAATTATGTAATAAACGTAGAAAATGTTAGTGCAAACTGAATACCAATTTAGATCGTTTTTCACCAACTTCTTGGTTGCTGCTTGTACGACTCTGCTTACTGTAAATAAATATGATTTCAGAGTAGCTTTTTCAGCATTAAACAGTTTTGTTTCATTCAACATCAAAAACCAAGTCACATTCGAACTTCACCAACAATCAGTTAATGCATTCGGATTATTTTCAATCACTGCTAAAACTACCCATCTTGACTTATTTATTATAATTTGGCTTAAGGTTAAGATTACATTTGAATCTGTCTAAATATGAAAACATCAATAAATTACGAGTGTATTATTACTTTCCTTCTCAGAGTTCGAAAAATATTTACAGTTTTAAATATGCGCGTTCGCTGTTGGAACGTCCTCGAATGTGCTTGTTCAGTCTTCTCTCGTCTCTTCGCATCCTAGGAATCAATAATCG